CTCTCGATTATATTCGAGGCTCAATTAAACGGGGGATTTATCGCCCGATATATCCTCGTTTGCGCGAAAGCGAGCGAGTTTTGGGATTCGTCTCGTAACCGTCGAAGATTAACTTAGATCGAATCGACAAAATTATTGAATCGAAGCGAGGTGCAATATTTTTCTTTACGTCGCTTGACATTCTCGAGAAAAAAAGAGAAAGATAAGAGAAAGTGAGACAGAGAGAGAAAAGAAGAGGGAAAGGAAATTCGATCGAAAGGATTTTAGGCAAAACTCGAGAGGATGTCCTCTCGAAAGTACAATCGTGTTCGAACGAGCGTCGAATTGGCGCGGTATCGCGTGATTAAACGAGGCACGGACGAGGCATCATCCGGTTGCGCGTTCGAAATGGAGGGACGCCGCCACCACGTTTCTTGCAGTAGTCGTGTTAGCGTGTTTCTTTGCGGTTGTCGGCACTCACGGTCGTTGGACGCGATCCGCCACTCGTTTTGCTCGGACGGATCGGTTTCGTTGATGGAAAATCGCGTCGATTCCCTTTTTTATCGATAGAGTGATTCCATCGTCGCGTGGTTTCACGCGGTTACAATTCACAATCCGTCCGATTAACACGGAATTCTCTCTCTCTCTCTCTCTCTCTCTCTTTCTTTCACGGTAAAGAAACACGCCAACCGTAATTTGCAAACGTCTCTCGAGAACGTCGTCCTTTCGAGTGGTTCCAAAGCGACACGTTCGAGAGCTCGAATTAAGTTCTCTCTCTTCATTCTCGCCTTGGCTCTCGTCTCGAGAGCAGCTATCTCGTAATTATTACGTCGCGGAAGACGGCAAGTGACGCGACGATTATCCCTCCTCCCGCCTATTTTTCCAAAACGCAATGGCGGCCAAAACGCGTATACAATCGCTTCGATCTTATCCACGACTCATCCATCTCGAGCCTCGAAATTTTCACAAGACAAATTTTCAGTTTCCTTCTATTATTCTTCCCCGTAGTAATAATAATAATAATAATAACGACGAGAGACGAGAAGCGTTTATTAATCGCGCGGAGGGAGAGGAGGGGGTGGAGGCGGGCGAAAAAGGGGATGGGAGAGAGTC